TGATGAATCGAAATATAGATATAACGAAGCAAAACCTCCAGCTCCAGAGCTTCGTTATATCGAGGTTATACTGTAATATACACTTGTGCTAATAAAAATTTTTTAATTTATAATACTGGTTATTACTCTACTAAGTGGCAGGTTTAAAGTTTAAATCCCATGGATGATGTTTTCAAAAAATAAGTCTACATTATAGTAATAATTATCTGTCAATTAGTTGGGTTCTAGAACTTGTAATCTTGATAATACTATATTTATATAGAAGCTTCAATACATAAAAGACCAAGAAACTAGGATGATCAAAACTTGTTTGGGAAGACCTAAGTAAGGAGTAGCCACAATCTTTGACAATATCACAGAAAAGATCCAAATTTAGAAGTTTAGGACTAAGATTGGAGAACCAAATACCAACAAGATCCTTTAGTAGAAGGATTTATCAACCCAATTGCCAATTTAGAAAGTTGAAAATTTGTGAGACATTATAAAGTATACCAACAACATTGGCCAACTAGTATGAGAAACTGATAGTAGAGGCCCTACCTATGAAAACTAGAGGCTATGGAAGTTAGGTAATTGATAAAAAAATGCTAGACATGTTTAAAGGACTAGCCTACTAAATTAAAGAAAAAGAATATATGCTAGAAAATTATATATTAAGACAAAACAAAGGTACCAATACCTAAAGCCAAGCCAAGATTAAATTTTTCAGGTTATTGGTTGGAAGTAAAGAATGGACTAATAAGAAAATAATAAAAAAAGAAAAAGTCTAAATATAAGTACTAGGATTAGAAATAAATCTTATATAAAGGCAAAAATAGTTAAATAAAAATAATCCCAACTGCAAATAAGAGTCTTGACAACTATACAAAACTAGATTAGCTCAAATAGGATAGAAAAAGCTCTAGTAAGTTTACCTCAAAAATAGCTATATATCTACTCAATGAAGAAATGCAAGCTAGTAATTAATCAATGCAAACCCAGGATAAATTGTAGTAAGATAGTGATGCGCAATCTAGTAAAACAGGCTGTTAATAGTTTCTGAGTTAGTATAATATGTTTGAAAATAATTAAGACCAGAAGGTTTAACTTTCTAGTTGGGTTATAGATACAATATCTAGAGTAGAACCTACAGGTGAACTACTTAAATAGGCACTCAAAAAGTGCACATGTGGCTAGTTGTATCTTTATTGTAACTATAATAGCAAATAATTACTAATAAAAAGTTTTCATGGCCAAAGAGGTCACCTTAACACCAAAAAAAAAACTATACTAATAAAACTAATACTAAAAAATCTATTGGTCAAATAAAATTTGTACTACACTTAGTAGTTACACAAAGTTAAATAATAAAAAAGTTTTAATATTAACAGAATAAAATATAAATTACTTAGCAAGTTTTTAAAATATAGCAACCATAATGTGTGTGTAATTAGTAAAACCGTTTATATATTAAATCACCCTATTAGGGTGATTTTTATATAATTATACAAGATCGTACAGTATTTATAGAATTTTTTTAGATACTATAACACTAAGGTTTTGAGATAAACACCATAGCGTGAATCACCCTATTAGGGTGGTTTTTATATAATTACAAGACTATTACAAGATTGTACAGTATTTACGTATAAAATTTTTGAGATATGTTAAACATCATTGTGTGATTTAGTAAACCGTTTATATATTATAAAAAATTTTTTAGATACTATAAAAACTTCGAACACTAAGGTTTTGAGATATGTTAAACACCATAGTGTGATTTAGTAAACCGTTTATATATTATAAATTAAATCACCCTATTAGGGTGGTTATTATATAATACAAGATTGTACAGTATTTACGTATAAAATTTTTTAGATACTATAAAAACTTCGAACACGAGATATAGTATACTTAATAAGTGTTTTGGTTAAAGTGAATTCAAAATACAATTTTGTATTAAAGGCTATACGTATAATACGTATAACATCATACTGAACCTCTCTCGGGGTCTTAGGTACCCCAAAAATATCGGAACGGTAAATAAGTTGTGTGCCTGCCCACAAAAAATTGTGCAACAAAATCATAACATAACTTTGGCCATTGATGGCACTTATATAAACTGCTCAATGATTAAATATTATAGTTGTTGTTGAGCTTTTTCATGTTCAACTATAAAATCTAAAATGTCAACTACTCACGATTCCCCACCACCCATTCCGCCAAAGCCTAATAATACACCAGACAGGGGTTCGAAAGTTGGTAATGTTACCAACATTGATCAATTACTAAATTTGATTGATAATGAACTCGGCAATTCTCGTTCTGAAGACGAAACTTGGAATCAAGCAACAGTAAGACAGCCAGCTCCTGTAGATCCAAAACATCAAGCTATGCCGTTAAATATAAATACAAGCACACATTTTTCTGAAACTACGAATACCGCAAGTTCGATGCGGCCACATCTAATGCAACCTCAACACGCAACGACAGCATATAATTATGGCAGCAGTTCTTCGAATGCATCACACGTTTATCCTCCACAACCAAATTACAATCCTGCACAACAATATTATAATAATAATAATTACAATGGGAGACAATATCAATGTCAAGGAGCGTATACCGGACCTTATTATTCGTCATATCCTCGTGACCTAACTTCTCAAGGATGGCCCGCTCAGGCTCCGGCTTATCCGCCAAACTCTAATATAAGGCCTTTACCTAATCCGCCTTCGAATACAGCCTATCCTTCTCATAATCAATCTGTTCGATATTCTCAAAACATGTATCCATATGGAACCCCTTACGTACCTCCGACGACAAATGTACCAACAGCAATGCCCGCGTATCCTGTAATGCCCGATTATCATAAATATATAGATAAGTCTACGGGACCACAGCATGTTCAACATATTGATCAAAACATCCAACCACGAAGGAGTCCTCAACAACCTACACAGGTAAGTATTCATATAATCGGTTTTTTAGTCTAAATTCAGAACATTAATCATAATTTTACTGTATTTAGCCCGTATACCCACAGGAATTGCCTTATGATGCATATCCAACCGATTTTACACATAAGTGAGAGAGCTTGATATAATTTGAACCGTGATGATTACGTTATAAACATAATTACTGACAATTTAAATATGAAATTGTCTCTTAGTTATACACAATCATCTAGCCATGCACCTAATATGTGGGCGTCGACTACTCCGCAAATGACGTCAATACAGTCCATAAGTGTAATACCAGAAGTCAAAAAACCACATTCGGCTAACCCTCGACCGTTTAATCCCGCATTATTATCGTGTATAGCACTAGCATTTCGGACTAATATTAATTTGGGGACTCATACGAAGGGTGCATTAGAATATCCAGAAAGCTTTACCGGCAAAGACGCTGTGGTATTCTTTTAATTCCATTGATTATTCAATATTCGCGAATCGGTTTTATATATTTATTGTATAATAAGCAATGAATTTAAATATAATTAAATAATTGTATATCATTTGTTCATATTAGAGCACTATACACTCCCTTGTTCAGCATGAAGTGTCCGATATTTCTCGTCATATTGCGTTGTCAATGGCTCGTTCATTGGAAGCCCAACTTTATTTTCATTCAGTCTACTGGGCCAATGTTACTGTAATTAAAGACACAGAAGATGAAGTTTACGTATTCCTAAACCCGGATCCTGAAACTCCCACAACTGTCGAACTGGATGAAGATTTTCCAACAGGAGTTTTTCCTATTATTGCAAAATGCTATAGTCCTCGTTGTAGTATTGATGGTAAAGGTTGTTATTCTAGGACTTGTCCCAATTATGTTCCAGGAGTGGTTAGCAAATATTTTGATTATAACTTTAATCTTGTCAATGTTTTGATAATTTTTTTTTTTTTTTTTTAGCAATTCTCACCTTATTTCTTTTTACATATTGTAGGACGAAAAACCACCAGATCCTTCTATGAGAAGACCAGAAAGCTTGACGCCTATTGATGTTGTAGAAACTCCGGTGGGTATAGATTAAATACAAATTACTTTCAAAATTTTGGCACACCAATACCTCGCTTAATATTAAATAGAATTATCTAACAATTAATGCATGTATATAAAGACTCAGGACCGTACATGGGTCGGATCTGTATCGAAAGAAATCTTGGAGTCTCTTAGCAAAGAAGAAATAAAACGTCAAGAAATTATTTTTGAAACAATATATACAGAAGAAGATTATGTGAAGGACTTAGATCTCATAGAAGAGGTGATATATACATATATGTTGTAATGTATATATATTAATAAATAATTAATATGCCTATTTCTTAATCCTTTGATAGCTTTATATAAAGGGACTTTATACAGCTTCACCGCAAGTTATTCCTCCACCTCAACTTGAAGGCTTCATTCAAGAAATTTTCTTTAACGTCTTAAAAATTCGTGACCACAATCGAAAAATGCTTGAACAACTACAAAGGCGACAAAAGGAAGATCCAGTGGTGAAAGTTATAGGGGACATATTTTTTGCTTGTGCGGTAGAATTTGGTAATGATTATATAGATTACAACGGACATTTTCCCATCGCTGACAATCTTATTAAGGCTACTAAATTAAGGAATCCTGAATTTAAAAGATTCTTGGAGGTATTATAATTATTATTTTAATGCCAAGTATCTATGTTAAATTGGTACATTATTAATTTATAAACTGTTTTTAAATAGCAATGTTCACGGTCGAAAGAAGCTCGCAGACTTGATTTTCGTCATTTCATACAACGTCCAACTACACGTTTACAACGATATACATTATTAATTGAACAGATTAAGAAGCATACACCAGATAATAACAAAGATAAAGAATATCTTGACGATGCTCTGCAAACAATTCGTCAACAGTGCGTTGTAAGCGATAATAGAGTTCACGAAGCCGAAAATCGTCTGAAGATATTGGAAATTGAACGTAAATTGGTCAAAAAAGATGGAGGACCTTGCGTACGAATAAATTGAGTGATCATGTGCATAAAGCTTTATTATTTGCAAATTACGCGTCTAAATTTTTTTCTTGTTATATTTATATTACTTAGAATGAGCTTAATCTTTCCGATCCAAATCGACAACTTTTATTCAAGGGTGAATTACAAAAGAGAACTAATCTTGATAAACAGGATTTATTAGTATTTCTCTTTGATAATTATTTGGTCATGACAAAGGAAAAGAAAGGACCTGATGGCGAGATGAAATATTTTATATCAAAAAAGGTATATTAAAATCATATATATTAGAATTTACGATTTACGTGTGCTAACCTTTAATTTCGCCTTTATAAAGCCTATTCCTTTAAGTTTCCTTATTATAGATACTCCTAGCGAAACCCCACAAGCAAGGACTGCAACGTTTCATATCAATATTAAACAACTTGATAAAGTTCGGACAAGAACTAATAGTACAATGCAATCTCCTAACTCACCACAAGTTGTTACTGATCTTGAAGGTCAAGACAGCACTTATGGTCGATATCCGTTCACTATCCTTCACATTGGACGACATGGAGGTCAATATCAATTATTTGCTGATTCAGCGAATACACGGAGACTATGGAAAGATAGAATACAAGACGCACAAACCAAGCTTTTATCGAACGATGCTGTTAATAAACAGATATTTGAAGTATTTACATTAAATGATTGTACCTTCGTAAGTGGTGTATCTTCAGCCAATGCTGGAACATCAGGAACATCTATATCAAGAAGCAAAGTGACTTGTTCCGTACCCTTCGGTAAGTCTTAGTTTGTTAGTTTAAAAAACATATATTGGCTTATGCGCGTGTTTAATCGCATGCTTTATTTCCAATCATTTTAGTTACAGCAGAGAAACGTAACATGGTCGCTATTGGAGCTGAAGATGGTGTTTGGATGGGATTCGGAGGAGAAGTGGGGACTTTCAAGCAAGTTTTAACTGTCAGTAATGTGACCCAGATGGCAGTTCTTGAGGATTTTGGAATATTTGTCGTGTTATGTGGTGAGTATTTATGTATTGAGGATTAAGTAAGAGATTTGTAATTAAATATATATATTTTATATAGATAGGACACTCTGGGCATTTTCTCTGGAAGCTATAATACCATCATCATCTTCAAGTGGAAATTCCAACCAACCGTATCGCCAACGCCTGAGTGCTGGTAACAATGTCCAATATTTTAATGTTGGCGTTATAAAGGAAAGGAATTCTACAAAGGAAAAAACTTTAGTGGTATACATGAAAAAGAGAGGTTTAGAAAGTCACTTTAAGGCTTTGGAGCCTATATGCGCTGTTGGTTCAAGTAGTGATAAATCAAAAACATCATCTTCACGCCGTGGTGCGTTTGCTAATTTAATTCATTCAAAAACTGAATGGTTCAAGGAGTACAAGGTAATATTTCATTTTATACGTTGTAGTATTATTTTTCTTCTTATTTAATTGATAGTTTATACTGCTTATACATACTAGCAATTTTATATCCCATCCGAATCATATTCGGTGAATTTCCTAAGGTCTAAACTTTGTGTCGTATGTACACGTGGGTTCGAAATCGTAAATTTGGATACTCTACAAAATGTAACTATCCCCGATGCCGCGGATCCGTCATTCGCACAATTGGGAAAGAGACTAGAAACATCCAAACCACTTGGAATGTTTAGGTTGAATGATGATGAATTTTTATTATGCTATGACGGTAACCATTAACTTTTTTAACGTATTGTCGCGAGGAATAGCGGCTTAATTTAGGCCAAAATTTGAAATTACACCTCTGTGTCATTTCGCGACAATACAGTAATTTTTCAAGTTGAAAATTCTTATTGGGAGAGATGATATTAACTTAATGCTATTTTAGACATATTCTTTTACGTTAATAAACATGGTGAACTATCGCGCAAAGATGTGATGGAATGGGAAGGTCATCCCGAAGCAGTAGCATTGCATCTTCCCTATATTATTGGTTTTGATCCGTTGTTTATCGAGATACATGACGTTGAAACTGTTAGTAAACTTCTATTATTGATACATTTGCAAAAGTACGATAATATCTTTGTTCACTGTTTATTATTATTGCTTTTTTAGGGAAAATTATTGCAAGTAATAGCGGGAAAGAACATGCGATGTTTGAACGATAATTCTTCAGGAAAACACGCAATACAAGCAGTTATGCAACATCCTTATCATGATGCACAATACATATTCCAATTAGTAGCGGCAGACATCAGAAGGCATGATAGTTATAGATCATCTCGTTAATGAAAATATTTTATTAATTGTCGCTTATTTGTCTTATAATCTCATATTTTCATTTATATCATGTTTTATCTACTTTCTAAAATTGTATTATATAGTAGAAATTTTTATGTTTAAAACTTGACATGCAATTATTTATATCGTAATATGAGAATAATATATATTTGTAATTGTTTTTTTAGCTACTCATATTTATAATAAACATTCAACTTTGATAATATTATTAAATTTCAAGTGTTAATGCCATTCCTATTTTAAAACGCATCAGAAAAATTTTAGTAAAACTTTTTTGGCCTCAGTAGACGTTTATTGGATTTTTGTTCGCAGTAATGGCGATGGTTTAGGCAATTTGACCAATTATGATTTTATATGTATCACCGTTAGAGCGTAAAGTTTTGATAAACTTTTTTAAGACTTAAATTTTTTTGTTCAATGCATAGCGTACTCATATGAAGGTCCCCAAAATCTAGATAAAAAAATCTCTAATTTGAATATTACTAACTATAACCGGCGGTGACCATCACCGGGGTGCCTATATCTCAAAAACATACTAAGTAAACGGGATC